GCGAATTTCCTGCATGTACAAATTTATAATCAGAAAATTGTTTGGCTTTGCATTGAAAATTCCGACAATTGTACGATTTAAACCAAAATCTTCTACTGAACAACCCTATTGGGTCATATTAATGAACGCTTGAAAACAAAATTTACTGAAACATGGGCAGCCATTGCCCTCAATGCAACTGTGCAGTGGCCTGACTCATTGTGAGCAGTCACTACGATATCATGTGTCTGTTTAAAGTAGGCATATGCATGCATTTCACGATGGAATGGCTGTCCAATTCAGGACATATAGGGAAAGTAATTGATTGATACGGCAAGTTTGCCTTAGGACACATTTAGGTTACGAAATATCTTGAGTTCCTCTGTTTAGACCCTTGGTCCTTTTCCAACCATTTCGAGACAGAAACTTAATACTTAAATCTTACTAAATAAGATTAAATGGAAGGCTGTTTGTAATTAATATGTGAAACGCTTCTCTTTTTTTAATTATAACATCCAGACCGGAGGTCTCGAGGTTTTTTTTTTTCTGTCAACATTTGCTGGGGTGTCTGTTAAAATCAACTTTATTATCATGATTACGATGGTGATGATGATGATGATGACGATGACGATGACGATGATAATGACGATGACGATGACGATGACGATGACGATAATGACAATGACAATAATAATGGTGATGATAATGACGATGATGACGATGATGATGATGATCATGATGATGACGATAAGTATTATCTATAGCTGTTTCAGGACACGTTCCTATCAGGGAGTTTATTGATCATGACCTTCACTGAAATACAAGTAGAGACTGCGCGGGAACAACAACTAGCAGTCAAAATGATATTAAGAATCGAAGCACACTAATGCGCTAAAAGACACCTATAACAGCTGGTCAAGGTGCCATATATAGCGGCACGTAAACATTCCACCTCGTCGCCCCACGAAGTATCGATTACGATCGTCATCAGTACAGATGATAGCCTGACTCTACATCGTGAGACAAACGATTTGAAAAAGTTCATTTATCTGTGTTATTCTTGCCATCATGAAATCTTAATATCATAACCTTTTTAATTATCCTTTTGAAGTCTACATCTGCATCTTCACACGGAGGCTGTGTTTGCAAGTGATCGCATACAGTAACAACATAAACAGTAGATGAACAACATCTTTTATCAAATAAAGTATTAAGGTAGCACAAATGAAGAAGCCTTTTGTTAAAAATAAACAGCTAAAAAACTAAATGTAGAAATGAGGACATTCTATATCCTAATAATTATCGTTAAACATATTTCAGCCTCGTTAGTAAAACTCCGGAACGGATTATTTAGTCGACTTTGATACACGTCTGAAAGGGATCTAGAGTCTCACGCCTTTGATGAGAAACCGANTCTGTTGTAGCACTCAGAAACGAACAACGAGTAGCACCAGGAAACAGTTTGATCATGTTATCATTCCGAGTAACATTCGAAGCGCTCTGAAGAAATCGTCACCAAGCGTTGAACGACCGAACAGATGTTCCGGAGCAAACAAAAGCCAGGAGCAAGGAATATCGGGTAACGCTCGGTATACTTCGTTGTCGGCTAAGAGGTCGTTCGTATTCTATTGTTACACTCACTCACTCAACAGGACAACATTACGGCTTCGCCTCCATTGGAGGCAGTAGCCATGAAAATTCCTTAAGAAGCGGTTATGTATTAACTCTGTTCCGTTTAAACGGCACAGACATCGTTTACTTTTAATAATTCCGAGGCTGTTTAATTAAGCAATTACGGTACGCAGTTCTAATAATCCATCCTGAATATCATAAGCACTTTATCTTTTACTTCCTTTCAATTAAGCCTCTTTCTTCGACGACAATGACGTCTAGTTTTGTTTTATGTGGCTTCAACCGCGACAAGTGAGCAAGCTAAGCCAAAACAATTTGGTTAACTTAAGTGACAAGCCTCAATTTTTCACAAACTTCAAACCCTTTGCACGAAACCTTAGTGCAAATAGACTTTGATTCCTTTACTGCTCTCATCCTGATGCAACTAATCTCCGAACTATACAAACGTTCCTTAACGAACAACCATTCACGGATTCTCTTAGCCCCTATCTTTTTATTGTATCAATAACAAAAGGCTAGCTATCGATGACAATCTACAGCGACGTAATCAATAGCTTGAGATATCTACTCACCTCTGTTTTCCCTTCTAGTCCTGAACACGGTCGACGTTATCTTCAATCGAAGACGCGGACTGATATCATTTGGTGTAAGAGCTGTCCGCATTTTGCTTGAATATCGTGTTTTGTGTTACGCGTAAATGGCTACGCCCACTGAAGAGATAATTCACCGCGGAGATACCTTATCCCTCAAAAAGGTCAGCTATAGGCTGACATAAATGCCACTTTCAAGTCATCGTCTTACATTCCATTTTAAAGTGTACATTTCAACTTTCAATTATAAACGTAAAGATAAAGCTTCTGTGGTTTTCGAGTTTGTGTTCAAGTTATCAAATGAGATTTTACGTTTTCTTTCTATCTGGAAGTATTAAGCAAATATAACTTTTAAAATTTTGACTATATCGTTAAAAAACTCGGACTTTGTCCACACTATCAAATGGCCTACAGAAAGCGAACCACCTCTATCAGTCCGGTAACCCCATGACGTCACAACACAATGACTAATAATAACTTGGTGAATTTCTGGAGGACATCAACTTTGTTCTTCAAATTTTCGGTTGTGTTCGTGTTGTCTACCGATAGTTCCACGCGGGCGTCATAACAGAGAGACAAACTTCGAGGAGCACAAGATGGTGGCCTTTGGTGGTTAATTGTGGGAGTTTTTACTGACGATTAGAAGAGATGGCTGTACACTTTGCGGTCAATTATAATTATAAAGCAGTTGCAAATGTTTTGTTTTGTCTTGTTCTCTACTAGATTTTACGTTTAATACAAAAAGCAGTTTTTGAAGTGTTGATCACTCTTTGTTACAAAGAATCGCTCGGTCTTTGAATTACGTTTCATCACTCAAATATTAATTCAATACCTTGTCTGATCAGATTAAGGACAACTCATATTGCGATCGCAAAACCTAAACAAACGCATTAAGTTCGCAGTAAATGAGTGAAGACGTAATTTCCGGAGCTATTTAATGTAACTACGGTAAATACAACGGCAGATTGACCCAAATATAAACCTGCCGAGCCTAACTGTTTCAGAGTCTGAACTTTACATGCAGCGAATAAATCGCATAATTAGATTTGCAGTTTCAAGCTTCGTAGTTTGAGTCGGGCCTTTACTTTCTTCTCTAATCTCTATTTCATGGGTCTTATTGATAAAATTGGTAAAATTTTCTTTGATAAGCAAGGACTTCGAGTTTCAGGCAAACAAACGCAGAAATGAATTAACTGATTCAATCTCAATCATCTTACAAAGAGACAAAATAAGTTACTACCTTGACCGGTCATCCGTTCAGTTCTGTATATCGTGATTTTGGTGNATAATAACCGTCTGTGGGGGGGTTAGAATTTAGTTATAACAAACCTAACATAATTGCATAAATATAGTTACCTTCTCTGTTTGATTCTTGGTAGATACTTCAGGTGCACTGTATATCAGAGCCCCAGGATTAGCTGTCATGATCTGCTCTATAAAGTTAGCCGTACCGTAATCAGACACTTTGGCACGCCATTGGTTGCCCTGTTGCCAAAGTAACACATTCGCACTGCTGATATCACGGTGAATGATGGGGGAGGGCTCTTTCTGGTGAAGGTAATTTAGTGCTCGAGCGACATCTAAAGAAATAACGAATATTTCATCTCGACGAAGGGAGCGCTCATTCAAGAGCACTCGTAGACTTTTTTCCAGAAGCTCTGTTACAAATAAAGGACTATCAAAATCGTTAGTTGCTCCAATAAATTGCAACAAGCAAGGATGACGGCATCTTGAAGCAATTTTCATTTCTCTCTCAAACAAACTGATGTTGTGGGGAGATAGAATCAAGTCATGCATTTTTTTCACAGCTACGGCACAGCCACAATACCTGCCCTCGATAACAAATCCCCAGCTACCTTTGCCAAGCGATGAGTCTGTCAGCTGAATTTGATCACGTGGAATCACCCAGTCAGGCTTTTCTTCCCGTTGAAGTTCATTCATCTCTTTCTGTGCGGCTTTAAGAGTTTGCTCCAGTTCATCTATTTCCTGATCTTTCGCTTTTAGTTTTCCCTGCAATTTGGAAATTTCACCCTGTAGAACTGTTCTTTCTCTTTTTTCAATCTGTAACTGTTCTCGGACATCTGTGAGCTGCTGTGTCACTGCCTTCGATAGCTCTCCTGTGTCGTGTAAGTGCTGGTTTTTGCTCTGCAGTTGCTCGCACTCTTGTGAACAACAGAGCCTCGATTTTTGCGACTGTCGTTGGAGATTTCCGAGCTGTTGTGTATTGTCACTCAGTTGACTTGGTAATTTATCGAGTTCTTGCTCTTTCTCTTTTACTTTCTCTTGTTCGTGTGTCAGCTTGTCTTCCGTCTCACTTAACGCTTTCTTTCGGCTGGCGTCTTTCAACTCTTTTTTTTTTTTGAAAAAAAAATGATAAAATCACGAGTCAAGATCGAAACCCAAACCTATAAGTTTATCCTAATTGTAGAATCAGCATTCAGGAGCCTGATGTTATGATCTTTTTGTCTTGCTCTATTTTGGATGTGAAGCGCAGTTTGTTGTACGGTTTGCTTTGTTTCAGTCTCAAATTCAACTCTTCAAACGGCTACAGGAAAATTTATACGACGTTGGGGCAAGTCAGCAGTTAGCTGGATACTTGATAGTATAGTAATATTGGTGTTATTGACTGGGTTGCAAATGTAAATTGGCCACCACTACGATTTTCAAAGCTGACGTTTCGAGCGTTAGCCCTGCTTGTTAATCACTTGCCTTTGGCTCGTGTTTTATAAGCTTTCCTNAACAGTGTCTCCAACATGCTAGATGCTCTAACGAAGCACGCTTTAATAAGCCCATAAGAATCCTTGTCAGAATGGCTCAACTCAAGCAATCTGATTAGTTAAACAAGACTGAAGCTGTATTTTCTCATGTCACGAGCGTGGGACCTATGAGGAATTGAACCTCGAATCTTTGGATCACACGCTCCGATGCTCCCTCTACCAGTGAGCCACAGAGACTATGGGGAGGAAGGCCATTTACGCGTTCATTTATGACATGCGTCCTGTATACTGCTTGGTTCGCCAAAGTCGATAGCGTCATGTTAGTTGAGGCTAAACTAATGTGAGCAGAGACAAAAATCCTCAATCCTACGGCGCTTGACTTGTTTAAAAAATTTTTTTTCTGGTTCATCTGTTGCTACTCACTTGTTCCGAAATTTCACTTTCCATTAACAAAAAAGGAAAGCGAAAGAGAAGTCCGTAAAGTGGTCGAACATAGTACAAATTGGCAGTTGGCGTGACAGCTCTAGCTCAGTTTCATGTTTTGTACTCCGATCGGGCGCGCTCTCTCAGCCAATAGAATTTATGATGAATGACAATTATTCTAGTACCACCTTATAAAAATCCGAATCTAACGTGCACAATACCATGCTAAAAAAGTATATAGTTATACTGGTATGGGGCTTAACAAACCATTGGCATCTGATCGATTTCTATAAGTACCAGACCAAGTTGGAAACAATAGCTCGATTAATTGAATGGGGGAAAAAACTCTAGAAACAGTGGAGAAAAACATTCGTGTATCAAGAAATGGTCGATTGTTCCGGCTCAAATTCACCCATTAAGTAGTAAACAATAGTCCTTTTGTTCTTTGTAGCGCTGAGGGACTTTGGCCGAAGCGACGAGAAAAAGTTCTTGACTAATCGGAAAAAAATTTTTGGCATCACAATTTAGCTATTTTGGAAGAGTAGGTAGCGCATATTTGCACACGACAGATAAATTGTCACCGGAGTACCCCAAGGGAAAATTAAACGCTGATTTAGCCGCTTCGGGGAGGTGGGTAGCGTAAATTTTTCTGATACAATGTATATATGAAGTTC